GGGGCTAGATGCCCTTGCCATTGATTGGCTTTCGCCTCTCCGCTTAAAAAAAGTGGTTACTAAGGCATTTCTTGTAGTCGGTCTCGGCGTCGGCGCCGGGCGCTCATGCCCTCCCCCCTATCCCAACCCTCACGTCTTGAACAACACCTCCCCTGCACGAAGGCGAACAAAAACGGCAAGGTTAGCTGCACGAAGAAAGCACCCCGGTCCCCACCCTTCCCTGCCTGAAGACGAGTAGAACGGCACGGGCAATTCGACGGAGAAGGAAAGAAAGAACACCCCCGTTTCCACCGAGCACCACTCCCCCTGTACCACCAAAAACTCACAGTCTTGAGCGTGTCTTCCGCCTCCAACGCCGCAGCCCTCGCCGCTGCCCTCACTCCCGCCTCCGCGCGGGCGGCCTCCGCCAACGCGGCCTCCAGCTCTGCCGCGCGCCGCTCTGCCTTGGCCAGTCTCTCTGCTACCGCTGCCTCTCCTGCCGCCACCGTCGGTCCGGAGAGGGCATGTAGCAGCACAACCACAACCGCCAATTGAATAACCGTCAGCTGTGGCGAGTGCGGATGATTAATCGTTTGGTTTTGGAGGTTTGACTTACAGCCCTCACAAACACAAACAGGTTGGGCTTGAAGGATTTTTTTTTCCCTATACGCACCACCCACTGCAATTTCGCGTTCTTCCTCCCGGCAGGCCGAACAAGAGGAGTACGTACTGTACGTCTGTTGGTGATGTCGTGCTCTGTGCAGCAGTGCGCTACACTACTACAGTACACCGACTACTACTCCGTGGTCCACACGTCGTGGCCAATCAGCGGTCGAGACGACGCCACCAGGTGCCTCCTTTCGGCACCGGCGTGTCCAAACAACGCAGCACCCGACCTCATGTCTCGTATGCGGCACAACAACAACACGAACACGCGCTTGGACAGCCGAAGGGAAACTAAAGTACGCATCCGCCGGCGTGGGCCATCTCTCTCTACCTGCCCGCGGCGCCGCTGGTCCAGTCTCCGAGGAGGAGGAAGCGGCCAAGTCTCTCGCCTGCTGGCGAGCGAGGTTAACCTCCTCCTGCATCGCCGACTTTCGGGACGCGCATACAATGGCGGGGGAGGGGTGGGGGGGGGGGGGTAGGCATAAGGGAAGGTTGGGCGGAGGCAAGAGGCGGGGTGTGTCGTGTTCACAAAACAAAAGCCGGACAAGAAATAAAAATGAGAGGGTCTCGCTCACGACCAACACGAAAGAGAAAGGGGGGGGGGATTGGCTCTGAATAAGCCATCAATACGACCCGGAAGCCAACTACATCAGAAACAACGCACAAGTCCCCCCCCCCCCCAACACTGTATTGAGAGCAGAATTGGGAATGTACTCTCTTAAAACAAAGAGAGACATGCAGAAGTTGAATTGGCAGTACAAGGTAAGTAGAATGTCGGACGATAGACCACCAGCCATGGTTGACAAGGCAGCTTGGGGAAAAGCGACTCCAGGGAAGAAGGGAATCAGATGGGACAAGGTGGTAGAGAAGGTTTGGAAGGAGATAGGAGACGAGGAGGAGACGTTGGACACGGAAGGGTTCGGGGGGTTCAAGACGAAAGTCAAGGAGATGCTAGAAAGTAGGGAGGAGGCAACCCTTCGGAAGAAGGTACGAAGCGAAGACCACTTGGAGATATACGGGAAGTTGAAAGAAGGGATAGGGATGAAGACGTACTTGGACGGCCCCATGGACTACGCGAAAAAGCTGAAATTGCAATTTCGAGTAGGCGATCTGGACTTGCCAGAACGGAGGAAGAGGTATACCAGCCGTAGGAGAGAGGAAGAGGAGGATAGACACGCATGTCCATGTGGCAAATCGGAGGAGAGTAGACCCCACATAGTTGGGGAGTGTGAGTTGTACAGGAAGGAAAGAGAGGATCTCGAGGAGGAAATGAGACAGAGAGGGTGTGACATGGACAAGTTTGGTAAATTAGACAACAGCGAAAAAACGATCGCGATAATTGGGGATAGATGGTGGGCACAAGAGGCCCTAGAGGACGGGGATGAGATGTGCAAGAAATTTTTATGGAGTTTGTGGCAGAAACGTAAAGAGCTCCCAAATGTTGGTGGTGTCTCTAGTAGACGTAGGAACGGTGCTCCGTCTCGAAAGGGACGCGTGGTCAATGGTCAAATGACTACGGCAAGCAACAAATGAGTACGCCCCCCCGCGCTCACCAGCCCCTCAAGCAACGCCTCCCACTCCCGCTGCAACGCCCGCACCAGCTCCGGCAGCGGCGCCTCCCTCAGCCTCTCCTCCGGCACGCAGAGAGTGGACGACAGCAGCTCCCGCAGGGCCGTCGCCAAGACCCCCGAGAACGCGGCCACTTCCTCATCATCCTTCACCGCCGCCGCCGCCGCCGCCGCCGCCGCCGTCTTATCGGAGGGCTCCAATGACGACGACGACAAACGACGACGACGCCGCCGCCGCCGCCTTCCAGAGCGCTCTTGGTGGTTGTCGCCCGCTTCGGTGGCGGGGGGGAAGGGAGCGCCGCCGCCGCCGCTGCAGCCGCGGGTAACGTCACGCCGTCGTCGCCCCTCCCGTCTTCTTCTGCTGCTGCTACGCGGCGGAGACGGGCTCCGGCGGCCGCCGCTGTGGGCGAGGGTCTCGACTGATGGAGGCCGGGAGTAGGCGTCGTTGTCGTCGCCGCGCCCGTCTTCGGACGGCACGAGTGACGTACACGACGACGGCATCGATCTGGCGGAGGAGTCGGAAGAGTAGTCCTCCTCCTCCTCCTCCTCCACCTCCTCCTCCTCCTCCTCGCCGT